GATGGTGCCCGCATCCTGAATCCACGATCCAGTCTCTTTCAAAATTTATGGAAGCCATGGCATTTATTGCTCGAGTCTCCGCTGTGAAGCACTTTCCCCAGTCTTCTTCTTTTTCTTCTTCTTCAGCAACTTCCTCGATTTGAGCTATATTGCTCTCTTTGGCTCGACAATATCTTTTTATGTGCCCGACTTTGCCACAACGGTAACATTTTAAAGGCTTTTTACCGTTGCTGGAAGACTCCCCCTTCTTTCCTAGCGAGCTCGAACTACTTGAGGATTGAAAGTGCATGCTATCTCTTGATTTCCCTTTAAAGTTCCTCTTATCGGCGACAAGAGCATTTCCTTCCCCTTCTTTGATGGATACACCAGCCATCTGTTTGGCTAATAGCTCTTGTGACGATAGCAAATTCTCAAATTCTTCCAAAGATGGTTGTTGAACCCATCCTTGAATCGATGTAACAAAGGGAATATATTCTGGCTTTAAGCCACAAATAATAATTCTTCTTATTCGTGCTTCAGAGATAGCCTCGTCCAGATTCAATAGAGAAATTTCAGAACATAGATTTTTAACCTTCAAAAAATACTCAGTGATCGAGAGATTACCTTGAGTGGTGTTAGCTAACTCATTCTCCAAAATCTGTAGCCGAGCTTCATCCTTCTTGTTGAATAGCCGATCGAAGGTCCTCCATATTTCGTGAGCTGATTTACACCTTATAATATGATCAAATAAATTATGAGAGATGGACCTCTTTAGGATAAACTCCGCCTTAGCATTAATCTGCTTCCACTTCTTACGTGCATTGCTATTTTCCGATGCGTCAGTAGGAGGACTTGTGTTACTCCCATTGACAACTTCCCACAAATCCTCACCAACAAGGTATGACTCCATACAAGTCTTCCATACCTTGTAGTTGGACTGGTTCAATAACTCAATCCCCAGTCCATTAGCACGACCACCCAAATCCATTTAGAGAAACCAGTTGAATCAACCACTAACCCGACCTTGAAATCCAGGAGCCGACTTATGGCTCTGATACCATGTAAAGAATAGCAGAAGAAGAGTATTATTCGGAGACCTTCTGCTAGCCCAAGATCGTTAACCAAGATTGGAGGATTCAACTAAAGAAGAGGAAGCTTGAAAAAAGAAGAGAGATTTTAGATAGGAGAACTTATTTATGAAAGAAGACTTTCTTGATTTTGGCTTCCTTATGAATGAACAAGATACCCCCTATTTATACTAGCCTATGGATGATTCTAGATATGATTCTAGATAATGTACAAAGAAAATTCTAGCAACCTTATCTTCTAACAACACTCTAGAATATCTAGATATGTCTTATCTTCCTACAACATTCTAGAACATCTAGATATGTCCACTAGATAAATATCAAGTATACTAAACTAGGACATTCTAGAGAATTCTATATTATTCCAAAAAATTAACTTTATTTTTTTCACATACACATCAACTTTGGGATTTGCAATTTGAGAAAAATAAACAATCACCCTAACTTAAATATCAATAAAAAGCAAATTAAACAACAGAGATACAAGATGCATCAGTAGCGTGAACAAAATTCACTCAAAGAGTATAAGTACCACATAAAGAAACTTCTATAATATTTCCAAAACTACTGGCAAATGATCCAAATAAGTTAAAATCTTAAGATATTTCCTCCCAAATCATCACTTAATGGAAGCAAATCAAAAGGGAAAAAAAGAACCATTATGGTCTGATACATACAAATAACGAACGAGACAACTTTACAACAGGAAACACAATTTTAGTAAAGGCCGATAACGCAGAAGTACCCCCGCTTCGTGTATATAATAAAATTTTGAAACAAGCATGTGAAAAGGCTGAATAAAATATGAAGAGGGGCAGCTAGACCGATAGGGATTCAAATCTATCTCTTCGAAAGAGTTGAACATCGTGAAGTCCACGCTTTTAGCCAAGAGGAAATTTTTAAGCAATTTTGTGATGAATTAACGGATGGCGCATAAATCACCTGAGAAAAGATAGAAAAAGAAGACTAGCAAATGCATAAAACCAAGTCAATACATAATTGATTTTCATCTATTTATAAACCTATCAAGCATCAAAAAAATTTCAAAAAGAATGATCAACATGTGAAAAGCAGGAAGACAACACGCCACCGCATTATTTGATCTATCTATGAAGCTTGCATGACACAAAAAATTGACAAGTGAGATAAATGGGTACAAAGGAAAAAGAAGAATTAATTTCACGAACATACCATCAATATTGATCATGCGGTGATATGGTGTCTTTGGTTCAATTATTTTCTGCCTCACTGGTTTATTTGCCTCCATTTCTCCCAAATTTTCCTCATCCCACTGTACATGTGCTCCCCTTCTGCACCACGACCAAATGTTCAAAGCAGTTAAATTTTTGTTACTAACAATACTAATGCAAGCAAACAAATAAGCTCAGTTTTTTCAGAAAGAACTTGTCAAACCACTACTAAAATCATCATGCAAACACAACATTTAGCGTTACCCCGGACCCCAAAAATAAATGTGCTTGCAATAATTCACTCAATGTATTAAACACGCTACGTAAGATACAGGAACACATCGGCTTTGGGGCTAAAGAGCACATTCAGTCTACTACAGGATACCTATAGGAAAGTAATATCTGTACAACATTTCTTTTCTCCATCATGTCTATGTGACATTTATTAGCACTTGAATTTGAGTTTTAAGTGAATACAAGATATATCGGAAATAGAATTTACATAACAAGAAAAGACATTACTTCATTTTCCCAAGGTGACCCAATCCTTCAAGCAGTTGCAGTCAAATTGATTACCCTAAACCAGCAAAAGAGAAAAACTCTCGTCAAGCATTTGAATTAAAAAAAAGGTACTCATATCAGATAATGTCTCGAATGGCCTAAATAACAAGTTGGCGGTTCAAAAATAACCTTTGACAATGTGCTACTAGTGTTATCAAAGGAGAAAAGCGCAAAAAAAAGCTCTAATGTCTATTAGGGTTTTAAGCGCAAAGTGAAAATAAAGCGTGGTCGTTAATGAAGAAAGGCGCAAATGGAGAAAAACTATAAATATATATGTGTAGTCCAAGACTAATATCAATAAGCATGAAACCAAATATAAGGACAAAGAAATTGAAGAAAATTTACGATAAAGTAAAATATCAATGCTTAGTGTCGCCTCTTCAGGATTACACTCATTGGCAAAGAACAATATGTATTAGATCCTTGATCACAACACTGAAGTGCCCGCTAAGCGAGGCCAAGCGCTCAACATGTTTGAGCCTCGCTTTAGGGCTTAAGTACGGTTTAAGCGCGCCTTTGATAATACCTACTTATTTACCAACATTTACTATCCATTTCCACTCCCCCTCCCCCTCCTATGCACCTTCTTTGGTAAACAAATTGCTCCACATTTTTTATAAACGAGAAATGTTCGAGGATCAGTGCACACAGTTAGAAACTTAATGAATAATGAGCATGTCTCTCTACCCTTCTCCAAGTAAATACCAAGCTTTTCTTACAGCATGGTTCGAACACGCGAGGTGCGTCAAACCCACACATGTGCTCTTACCACTTGACTAAAGCCTCGTGGCACAAATTGCTAGTTGTTTAATAGATAACAGATAGTTTTTACTATGTATTTTTCATTTGGAAGGTGTAGGGATGCCAAGCACCACTATATGATATACAATCATGCTAAGATATGAGATAATCATAAACTCAAATTAATCATTCACTTGTTAATTTCTGAAAGATTAATTATTAAATCTATTGGCATAAGTTATAATGTATACAAAGATGTTAAATGTCTAAGTTTCAGATTGTCACTCCCTTACTTGAATTAGCACCGCAACTATAGGAGATATAAACAAATGTTACGAAGTTCAAATTTACAAAATCAAATCATCGGTGTAAAATGTGAAAGTAATATTAACACCTTAAGCACTTGGCAACCTTAATATCAAGGGTTGCTCTGATGGTAAGCAACCTCCACTTCCAGTCAAGAGGTTGTGAGTTCGAGTCTCCCCAAGAGCAAGGTGGGAAGTTCTTGGAGGGAAGGATATCGAGGTCTATTTTGGAAACAACCTCTCTACCCCAAGATAGGGGTAAGGTCTGTGTACACATTACCCTCCCCATCGAGGTCTATTTTGGAAACAAACTCTCTACCCCAAGATATGGGTTGTTGTTGTTGTTGTTTGCACTTGGCAACAAAAATAAGACTAAGATGATTAGAGATTGAATCAACATCAATGTGCATACAAATTCTACATGTACAACATGAAACCTTAATATTTAATTCATATTCTTATTTCTTATTGTGAAAAAACATAGGAATTAGGTTCTTTGGCCTTTTGAAAATGTGAGATAACTACATCTGATTAGATATTGAACGGAACAATTTGTTTAATACACATGTTAATTTGACCACTACAACTTTTTCTTTTTGAAAAAGAAATACTTGGACGAACTATAAAATCGATTTCTTAGGTTTATGAAGGTACATTGGCCGCCACACACACTAACATATTATAGAATCATCATACCGTTGGAGTATGGTGTGATGGATAGAATGTTTAGGAGTTTCAGGTTCGAGATTTGAAAATGAAAATATTATTTATTTAGAGTATTTTTTTTTAATGAGTCTTACACTATACGAATCTGAATTAGTTAGGATCCTAATACGGATATAAAAATACTGGGTGCGAAATCAAAAAAATAGAATCATCACATATAAAAACTAAAATATATAAAACACCATCTATCTTTTCAAAAAGAAAAAAGTGATAAATTAATTAATGCTCTAGAACCCAAGTTGGATCAAGGTGATAATTGATTACAACAGCCACAGAGGGTAGTTATGTAAATTCGGGATGCTCCTGTTAACTTGTACGGCAGAAAAGAGTAGAGAATACAATATACAAGGAGAGCATAGATACTACGGTATATTCTTCTTAAAAAGTATATATGGGGTTTTATTTAATACCCTGTATCTATAATTGGCTATGAAAAATAGTACACACACAACTCAAAAATCTCCATTTAACGTTCAAGAATTCACACAGACAAAACACACACACGCAGTGGAAGAGAAATAAGAGAGGTGGTAATTAAGGGGGTTGGTGATTTTGCAACATTTGATGCTGCCATGTTTGTGAGGTTTGAATATGAGTGGACTATGGGAATTTAGGGAGGTGATTTGCCTCTCTGAATTCCCTTAATCTTTCTTTTTCTTGGCGTGTGTGTGTTTTGGTTGAGGTGATCACTGCTTGTTGGGAAAGAAAAATTCAAGAATTTATCTCTGAAACTGAAGGAAACAGCTAGAAATTCAAGAATTAAACTCTCTCTTCTGGGGTTGCTTCAGTTTCATCAGCTTGTGCTCTTTCTATGGAAGTTGCCTTTGGTTTGATATCGGCATAAGAGGGTAAAAGATGGTAGCTTTCTCAACTTCTACTTATAATCTTGTTTCCTTTTTCTCCTCAAGCTGTCCTTTACTCTTTTTGGCTGTTTGTTTTTTAATCTCTAGTTGTTTGAATTATCTAGCATATGTATTTCTTCACCTTGATGAAAATATTTCTCACACTTCTCCTCCTTATTTGTTTTCTTTATGTGAAGGTGAATTTTATGTTTGAATGTTATTGAAACTCTTAGGCTGCATGTTTGCAATTTTCATTCAATTCAAAAAGGATACTTTTTGGAGTTCTGATTCAAAGATGAAAAAGTTTGTTTAACAAGTTGTTTTAATTGAAATTTTAGGACAGTAAAGATAAGGGTAGAGCACCAAATGAAATTCTAAGATGCAATTGCCTTTATTCATTGTGCCTAGTGTCTATATGACCATCTTAAAAGGAAAATTGATATCAAAAGAGAAAATAATGTTTCGAGATTTCGCAATTTTTACGCCTAGATTATTGTCTATATAGTCAGAGAGGATAAATACGAAAAATAGTAGAGGGTCTTCAGGTTGAGGTCTTCAAGGATATGTGTAGTACAAGCTATTGTCAAGCCAGTGATATCCTCTCTTGAGGCTAGATGCACTATATACTTAGTATCTAGGAGCAAAGGTTTTTTATTCACATGTAGATCGCCTATTTCTGAGGTGAGCACTGGAATCAGAAGATAATAGCTTCTTAGTCGCTTCTCATGTCTTAATACATTGAAAGCTTAACACCTGATCCTGAGGAAGCAAAATCATTGATAATAAGAAACTTATTATGATATCGAGGCTTGAGCATTGGACTAAACATTCAAAAAAGAAACTTAACAGTAATTTGGGGGCACAGAATATCCAATTTTGATGAATGAACCAAGAAATGGTAAGGATGTAATTAATATGAGGTTAATAAAAATTTAGGCTAAATAAATTGAATTGAATGAAAAGGCAAAGTTAAAGATGAAAAAGCAACTCATTCCTCTCAACTTAGAGTAGATTCTCAATGTCAAAGAGGTGGACTTTGCACAAAAACATAGATAATACAGTTATTGATGGTTGATGAACCCGTGGAGTCTTATTCCAATTTTAAGACATCTATCTTACTTGTGATGTTAGCTGGAGAACTGTTATTATTATATGATCTTTTAATTCATTTCTAGTTTTTGAAGGGTCATGGATTTGGGTTTTGAAAATTAGTTGAAAATGATTATTTCATGTGGACAAAAGCACTTGTAAGCAATTAACCATAGAGCTCTAAATTGATCTTGATGCAAGTTCAAACAACAGTTTAAATGGCAAAAACGTGTGTGCAAGTTCTGCCATCACTCAATTAATCTTTAAAAAATGAGTTTCACTTGGAAATTGGTTTATTGTCTAAGTATACGCATGCTGCCAATTAACCACAGTAGTTGACCACAAAAGATTACAGTAGTTATTTTGAAAATTTTATTTGAATGATGAACAGGAAGTCAGATGGTTAAAGAAGTTACAGAAATGGGCCGTGTTTTAAGGAATTGCTGATTCATTCTCTTATAGGTCCTCTTGAGAACTTTTCCTCTTAGAATTTCATGCCGCGTCTCTATTTTGATGTAGGCTGTGTATCTATTTGGTCAAAAGAAACTGCAGAACTAGTCTTCCTACTGCTCTATATAAAAATAGCATTGTGTTGAAATTTAACAGCTATTTCTGCACACAGGTTTCACGTATTTTCTGAAATAGCTAAGTCTGGTTTGACACAGAAGAAAGTTGGTTCCTGGTCAGTATACCACATATTTTGCAAGGATTTCCTGATGTAGTTCAGTGGCTCATATCAACTTACATTTTCTCAGCAGTTTCCTTGGTTACTCAAGAGCAGATATCTTTTTTGGCATTTTAAACACTTTATGCAACACATCTGTCTTTTTCTGGTTGATTCAACTCTCTGAGACATCTCCTTTTTGTGGAAGTAAGTAAACCTGACAGAACAGCTGGTTCCACTTAAGGGGAAAATCTTCTTTGGCAAACTGTCTTTGGCCTTTGAGAGGAGTAAATTCCTTTCATGCGAGAGCATCTAGTTACATGTGTCTCTCTATTGGCTCTGCTGGGCAAATCTCCTTTGGCAAATCGTGAAGTTCCGCTGTTTGGTGGTTCTTTATCGTGGTTTTAATCAAGCTGTTGTCTTCCTTTGTTGGCAAAAGTTTGATCCATATATCCGGCTTGTGGACTTCCTCTTCAACCGGTCAGGAAGAGCTAAAGAAAGTGGCACTTCTACAAGGACCACAATTAATTCGAAAGTTCTTCTCTGCACAATTCTTCTAGTGGACTTGTCAATTCATTGGGCAAATCTCCTTTGGCATTTGGAGTTAGACTCCAAAACATTTGTCTTTAGGGCAAATCTCCTTTGGCATTATCTCCTTTTGGAGATACTATCTTGGTCTCTGTTTAAAAGTAACAGATTGACCTCGAGATCTGATTCATCTTTGGATATATACATCGGTCGTTGTTGGAACTAGGAAGACTGATAATCATCGTCAGCAGGGGATCAATATCAGTCTGTAAGTTTGGATCAAACAGCTAGGACTTGCAAGTAACTTGTGTGGTATGTCTCCTGTCACTCGTCATTTATTTGTCCATGTAACTTATTGTTAGCTATATCATCTAACACCTAGGGCTGTATTTTGTCCCGGGCCCGGGCCTTAGTGGGCCTAACGGGCCGGGCCTCGCGGTCCCGGGCTTCGTGGTCCCGGGCTCTGGCGGTCCCGGGCCTGGCGGTCCCGGTCTTCGTGGGCCTAATGGGTGGAACCGGCCCGTGACGGGCCTAAGCCCACATGGTCCTGTGCTTAACGGGCCGGGCTCGTGGGCTTCGCGGGCCTAGCGGGTTTTT